AATTAAAACAGAACAGTAGAGAAAATCCGATCAGAATGACAGAATAAACTAAGCATCCACTGGAAGGAATCCCAATATCTGCAGACGGATCCGTTTCGGCCTTCTATAGGCGTCATCAGTGCAGCTAGGGTATAGACCCAAACGAAACGTTCGACCAGCTTAGGTAGGGCCCAAACTAGTCCCACGACCACTAATGATTACAGAGTCAAACCAAGGCAATATATATACACAGCCCAGGTGTGAATGCAAATAGTTGAATATAAGATTATATATTTACCAATAATTCTATACCATATATATACTTCAAGCTCTAAAATGTATGTATTATTGATTATATAATTGATTGATTCTTTGGTCATTAATTTGTTCGTTGACCTAATTGATTCACTGATTCATTGATTGATTGATTGGTTGGTTGGTTGATTAATTGATTGATTGGTTGGCTGAGATTGATTTAAATTACATTCTATTATATAAGCCTTAACAGGTTTACGACACAGTCGTGGAATTGATGTAGTCGCTATAACTAGTCGGTCATATTTTGCACACATTCATTCCTGAAAATGAACGAATAATGCGCCGCCTATAGAATCGCACTGACTTGCATCACTTGTTTATAGTGGGGTTTTTTTTTTCGTACTACCTCTCTTTTTTCTATTTAATGTTTTATCCAGTTTACTGTGAACCTCATTCAGTCGAAATTAAGCATGCACAGAATGTTTTTCTAGTGTTAGGCATAGATAGTTTGGTATATTTCCTTATCATTGAACATGTGAGATGAGGTATATTAAACTTGATAAGGCTGTTAATAGGTTCGCATCGGAGCACAGATGCAGGCAAATCAATCGCAATTAATTACCAACATTAGATCAACATTTAGCAGAGTGGAGCAGTCTTAAAAGTAGGGTACTCCAGTAGAGTGGTGCTTGTCTATGCTTTCGTATATTGCAAGATAAATCCTATAAAAAATATGAATATAAGTAGACAATATTTACTTATAATATACTTTATGTTTACAAATATACCAACCTAAAATATAATGCATTTACATGATTTTAAATTTTAACATGTGAGAGTTTTTGCCCTTGTAGGCCAATATAATTAGTTTTGTAAGTATTTGCCAGTGAAAGATGAATTTCATTATATTTAATTATGAGAAAGATAATATCTCTCTTTAAGGCCTATTCGTCTCATAAAACAGCAAAAAATACAACGATTCACATGAACTAAACAACGAGACAGGAAATCCAAAAAGAAAACTAAATCAACTATCAATACAATATAACACAAAATATATTGTATGTTATAATCGGCCCTTAAAATAATCTTTCAAAGCTTTGTAAATATAATTTAAATTTTAAATATTACTATCTATCTATACGGTACATCTTCTCTTTCTAAAGTGTCTAAGCGCGTCGGTGCTACTTTAGACTCTGAAGAATCTAAAAGGAATCTAGGCCAGCTATCTAACGCGGAAAATATCATATAGGCCTATTTAATAATTAGGTCGGTAGTCCAGAATGCAGGAGAGCGGATCTCGACATCACGCAAAAGAAGTTTTGTGAGGGCCCAACCCCGTTTAATACCACTCCCCTAACCAGGTGGTGAAACGGCTACATCGTAATAATTTGAAACGCGCTGACAATATATTAATTCAGATTTAAATAATGCTGCTGATTTTAATACAAAAAGCAACCTTTTTACAAGTTGGCATTATAGGATTGAATTTAGACTGTCAATATCATAAGATCAATAATTATTATTAATGTTACATTGTCTTATAAATATTTTTATTATAACAATACGTAGTAATAAATTTGGTCTGGATTTCTTAATACCAATAACAATGATAATGATGATAATAATATTTAATTTTTATGATTATTATTACTATTAATATCAGTTTATCTTTTAATTGTGATTTTAGAATGATTTGTTAATATTAAGTCTTGAGTAAAAAGGCCTAACTTTTTTTTTTTTTTTTTTTTTTTTTTTTTTTTTTTTTTTTTTTTTTGCTTTTTTTGAAAAAGAATCAAGTAAGCATGGAGGCTTAGTTTCGAAACTTTAATATCAAGTTTTCCTTTTTTAATCTAAGCCTTATCTTGTAGAAAATAGTGAATATTGAAACATCTTCCTACCTTATCGGCTCTTGAATTTTCCGAGTCCGATTATATAATAATGTAAATGGACGATGATTCGTTTTATATCAGGTATATTGAAGGACTGTCAGTAACTTTGAGCGCAGCATCACTGTCTGTACGGGATACTTGATTTCGCGTCTTTTATATTTCTATAAGTGAATTCATATCTTTGATCGTTTATCCCGCTGGGAAATGAATGACGTCATACTTCGGTGCGTTGTAAGGCCGAATGATTGGTTGTCAACTTCATGATGGGCGGGATTAGAATATCATAGATCGCTGTGGAGAAAATAGATACTGCATAATGTTACTATACTTTGATTAGATTATGTTGTAAACGCTTGTAAGGTAATAAATATAGGTGTAGGGAATTCGAAGAAATACACAATTGTGGATACACATTTCAGCCTATATGTTCAATAAACATATTTATTTGGCTATTCTTTCATAATACAATAATGTAAATGGCCAACAAGCACATACGTTTGACATAAACCATGCTCAAAATTAAGTTTCTAATTGTTGTGAATATTTATTTATATATTTAATTTTATTATAAGATTTATATAACTTATATAGCACACATCCAATTATCGAAGAAATGCTTAAGGCGCCTTTTCCCCTGGTATGTGATACAGTCTGCTCCCTGAGAGTATTCCTGGTTATGCGTCTAATCATCAGCACTACTAACTTCGTTTCGAATCATTCACCTCCTACCAGGTATCAATTTTATACTCCTGGGCGATTCGAAGACACAAGCAATTGGAGTAGAGTTGAATTCCTACTAAGATGCACTTCTAATCTTAGGGTCCTGGGGCCAGATTCATCAAACTAGAAATCAGCTTAAATTCGTCTTAAATTAATATTTTGCTTAAGTCAAATTTATCCATATTGCTTAGGTTAAAAATTGCTTAAAATTAGAAAGTCGATTGTACGTTGGCGCCATCTAACACGATTTTTAAGCCAAGATTTTGCTAAGATAAGGTAATAAATCAGCTTAAGATATTTATTAGGGACATCTTAACTTTTTTGAACTTAAGACATTTGCTAAGCTGAGATTAATATATCCCGGGCCTGGGTTCAATTCCTGTCAACGGGTAGCAGGAGCCTACGAAACAAGTATAAAGCTATGCCGCCCTAGCCCTAGGCCTGTCCAAGAAAGAACCAAAATAATTAATTAGGCCTACCGCGCGCCACCGACTTATCAGTTAAAATTAGCCACAAAACTGTTGCTAAGATCCCACAGAACGACCGTTTTGTTAAAACACACGCAAACACGCGCGTTTGTAGGACGTGTGTTTGTGAGACTCGCGCGTATTCCTAGCGCTGTTCTGATTGGTCAGTTGTCAAGTTTGGTTGATACTTCGGAAAGTCTATTAAATGATTTTTGTAGTAAAAACTCTGTCAATCATTGAATATTTCTTTGATACGTTTAAAAACGAGCAATTTTAAACTTTTCTAAAGGGTTTTTTTTCCCCTTACAGTTTCTTGTTGGGTAGAAATATATTATGTTTTAATAGGTAAGATATAAATATAGTTACAATACAGAAATCATATAGATATGCCTACAAATTACAGCCAGAAAATATGATTTTATTAAAAGTATAGGCCTGTGATTCGTTTAAATGATCATTTCAACGTTTTATATCGTAATTTTAAAGTTATTTTGTGTAGCAGCAAATCTTTAAATAAGACATAAAACTTTAAAATACAGAAAAATAATAAAACCTTTAACTTAAAGACTAAAATATATGGAATGTAAAATAACTATGCCTACTAAAATGTGAAACAAAATTAGAAGAATGAATTGCGGATCCGGAAAAATTATTATAATGGTATCAGCGATAGAACATACGCTTCATTAACAAATCTATTTTCTGATTTTCAGGTATCATCACATGTTCATGTAGTAAAGAGAAAATGCTAAACTAATAATTCTGGTGTTTATAATATTATGGTTTAGGTCATTGACCTGTTTTTGTTTTATTGAGAAAAGTTACTAAACCAATGCTTCCTAAACGATACCGAGAATTTATAATCCTGGTGGAATTACCGTGCGGCACATCGTAAACTTTCTAATAACCCATGAGAAAACAACGCCAACTGAAGAGAATATACCGTACGATTGTGTTTCGAACAAGCGTCACTGATCTGGTGTTAGAAGGTCTTGACTATACGGAAACTAAGTCACTTTTGCTGGATGCAAAACGAATTACGCACATTCATTTCATGCATACTTGATAGATAGTCTAAATAATTGTGACGCTTAGCATAGTCATGCTCAGTGAAACAACGAGACGGTTTATTGTATCATTAGCCAACTCCACGAAAGCAATTAGCTTTGAAATAAGTAGGCCTAGCAGACCTATTGACAAATTTTCACTCCATTTACTTAATTAATGTTACTTGTTTGTTTCAAGACATACTCCTGGTTCATTCATGCAGGTTCCTGTGTATTTATTTATGCCTATTAATACAACATCAAAGAAATGTAAATACAGTGTTACAATAAAGAATTTATATTTAATG